GTTGCGGTTAGTAAGAGCGAGAACGCCGCTTCTGTCACTTCTGCACGCTCGCCTCTTAGCGTCTGCTTAGGTCCGTGTCCTTTCTCAACTGGTTGCAAGGTTGCAGTTAGTAAGCGCGAGAACGCTGTTTCTCTTACGGCCTCGTGTTTGGGCTCTGCTTTGTCGTAGTTTCGTCGTCACTGCCTGGCATTGGTCGCGTCACCATCGGTATATGTTGCGGTTAGTAAGAGCGAGAACGCCGCTTCTGTCACCTTTGGCTTGCCTCTCACTGCCTGGGTGCCTTCACCTTACGTCGCCCGACCGTGGACTTTGGACTTGTGGATTTTGGTGTGCACGATCGTGACGGAACAAAACACAGGGGTTGTCCGTTGTCTGGCGAGACTAGAACGGCAACCGGAGCCTGGACTTGGCTCCACCTGTTGTTTTGGGCAGCTCTGAGCGACGGCTCTTTGTTGCTCCTGACCGGTCGCTGAGGCTCCGTATAGTTTGTGCTGAACGGCTAACACCGGCAAAGCCTGTGCGCCGCAGCCCTTGGTAGAGCTTCGCTTTGCTGTTTCACCGCTTTGTTGTAGTTTGATGCTTGGTTTGTAGTTTCGCTTGTTTGTTTGTAGGGACCGAGTGCTACAGCCGTAGTCGACGAGGCCCAGTCAAGCCAAAAAAAATCACCGCTGTTTTTGTTCGTTTGTTGGTTTGTCTTGTTTGTCGGGACCAAGTGCTACAGCCGTAGTCGGCGAGGTCCGACCACGCCAAAAAAAATCCCCTTTTCAGGGCTGCAATGCAAACACTCAGTCCTTGAGCTACCCCTCCGTGACGGTGAGGTGGCTCCAGCACTGACAAGGGGGATGCTTAGAGTCGAGTAGCCTAGTAGAGTTGAGGGGTAGGGGGATCGGGTTTTAGGGATTTGTAAAATTTGGGGACCGGGGTTTAGTTGGGGGTGCGGCTTGAGGGTTTTGGGGTAGTTTTCCTTCTCGCTATGACCACGGGTTTAGGGGCTTGGGGGTTTTGGGGATCAGGCTTCAGGGTTTAGGGGTTTAGGGGTTTAGGAGCTTAGGCGATTAGGATTCAGTGGGGTTTCAAGAATAAGAAGCCTTGGTTTTGGGGGTTCGGGGGTGAGGTGGTACAGGGTTTAGGGCTTTAGGGTTTGGGGCTTCAGGGCTTTAGGGTCTCACAGGGTTTAAGGGTTTCGGGTTTCAGGGTTTGGGGCTTTAGAGTTTTAGAGTGTTTCATAGGCTTTAAGTTCGGGTTTCAGTTTTTGGGGTTTTAGGGCTTTAAGATTTTTCATAGGGTTTAAGGGTTTCGGGCTTCAGGGTTTAGGGCTTTAGGGCTCTAGGGTTTGGGGTTTAGGGCTTTAAGGCTTTAGGGTTTTGTGGTTTCCCCCAGCCTAAGCCTAGCAGCCGAAAGCAGTCACTCCAAACCCTAAAACCCTAACCCCCCTATTTTTCTCAGTGATCGAGCTTGAGCCAGGTTTTGATAGGTATGTTTGAGCCAACGAAACACTTACTTGAGCCAACACATGTTTTTTTAAACCGCTGAATTTTTGAGTCATCACTTGAGCCGCAAAACGCTTGAGCAACTCAGTGCTTGAGCCAAAAACCATCATCTTTCTCGAGCACACTCACGGATTTTCGAGTCGAAACCCAGCAAAACACTAAGTGCCGGTTGCATTTGGCTTAAATGCCGGTTATGGCGGGTGGGCCTTCTCTGCAGTGAACGTTGCCGCCCGCGCGCAGGCCCCACAGGTGCGCTAGATGCCATCGCCCTGTCGCGCCTCACCGCCCTGCACAAACCTAACGGAGGTGTCCGCGGCATCGCCACAAGGGACGTGTTTTGAGGTCTCGTCTCCCGAGCGCTGGCGGGAGCGTTAGCGGGGAGCTTGACGCGGCCACCCGCCCGTTTCAGTTCGCACTGCAGACCCGCGCCGGTACTGACAGCGTAGCGGCGATGTTGCGTGCAGCTGTAGAACTCGACCCCAGGGCCACAGTCGTTTTTCTGGATGGGCGAAGCGCTTACGACACCATCAGCCGCGCGACTATACTGGCCAAGCTACGTGATACCCGTCGCTCCTGCCCTTCGCCCTGGCCATGTATGCGCACACCTCCGCTTAGTTGACGACGAGGGACGAGTGCACGACATCGCGCAGGCTGAAGGTCGAGCAGGGTGACCCCCTCGCACCGGGACACAACGCGCTTGGCCAGCACGACTCGCTCGTCGCGGCTAGTGCCTCTTTGCGGCCGGATGAGCGTCTCGCGTGTTCTTAAACGACTCGTACGTCGTCACCGTGCTGGAACGCGCAGCGTCGCTCCTGCGGGTCGTCACATGTCGTCACCGGCGAGGTTGAGCGCGATGCCGGGGTCGAGGTTAATCTGGGCAAGACGCGGGTCTTCAAGGCAGCTGGAGGGGATGCGCCACCCAGCGTCGACGTCTTGGGCCCCGACGTCTGGTGCGGCAATTTGCCCCCGGAGCAGCGTGGCTTCGTCGCTTTCGGCGTTCCATAGCGTGCGAAGCGTGCCCATAGGTCACCCAGTGGTCACCCCGACTTCGTTCGAGCCCAGGCCGCTATACAGTAGCCGCCTTGACGCTGAGGCCGACTTGCTTCAAAAATTCATCAAATTCCTCGATGTCTAGTGTGCCTGCCTCTTGCTCGCTTTCTGCGCGGGGCCTCGTGCACAGCATCTGCTCCGCAATGTACCCCAAACGACATCCTGCCGTACGCCTGTGGTCACGACGATGCGGTCTGGCCGGTGGTTGAGGCAACGGCGGCGACCGAAGACCCGGCGAGGGAGACGCCTTGGCTTTTGCTCGCCAGGTCACTTTTTGCTGCCGAGCCTGGGAGGCCTTGGTCTCTTGGCAGCGGAGCGGGTATCCCCGGCAGCATGCTGGGCGACGTTCCCGGTGTTGCGCCAACGATACCCCGACGCAGCAGCCCTGCTAGTACAAGAGCTCGAGGGCGAACCGGCAGCGTCTTGCCTAGGCGCAGCTACGGGCGCCGATGCGCCGGCCGCTGAGGGTGAACTCGGCCTAGGAAACCCGGGTTGGCAGCGCTCTCCTCCACTCCCAGTCCGGCCCGCATGCTGGCACATGTCCACCCTAGCACCCGACTTGATGACGTTTTGGACCTTGCGATAGCAAGCGCCCGCTACGGTAGCAACCCGTAGGCGCTTCCAGGTCTGGGTAGCTTCTGACGGAGGGACACCTTGTGCAGACGTAAAAAAGGAGCAAGCAAAAAAAAAGGCAGCTTGGTGGAGCTATGTGATTTGTTGGGCGAACCTGACGAGCAAGATCCCGACGTCGCTGCCGCCCGGCGCTTCGCCCACTCACCGGCAGAATGGGTATTCCGTGGGCGGAGCCTTGTTCCAAAACTGCCGTTTCACAGTGTGTGCTGAGTGCTTCCGTCCTTTCGGACGGTCTGCCCACGCCAATGCCGCTCACCAGCGCTTTGCGAGTGAGCCACCTGGCGTACAGTCCACCGTCGAGCCGACCGTTTTGCCAAATTGACCTATGGCCGCATACAATTCACACGTTTTCTTGACATGTCCCTGGAATCGTAACCGCTTAGTATCAGAGGGATGTTTCAACAGTATTGGTGTGCCACAAGTGCGTACTGAAGGCACAACCGCCTGCGTATCAATCGTCGTCACAGTGCATTCGGACGTCGTCCGCAATTGTTATGCGGGGTATTATTTCATGCTGCAAACCGCACGCTTACTTTTCATGGTGACGCCCAAGCCGCTGGTCAACATTTGCTGCCGTTGTTTGCGCCGTGGACCTCTGAGCACACGTTGTCTGCCACGGCGGCTCTGCAGCATGTGCCGCCTCCATCCGCCTCCCATCGACTCTGTTTCGCATCCTGATTCGGATTCCTGCAGTTCTCGCTCCGACAGCGCATGTGCAGCTGAGGGTGCCGAGCTACGTCAGTCATGTGCGAATGATGCACGCTGCACTGTTCTGCCTGCTGAGCCGCCTCCAACAAAGGGTCCCAGCACCACTGATGCTCAGGCATTGAAATAGCCCAACTCCGCGCACAACTGTCGCATTTCGAAAGCACGTTCACGAATTTGTTGCATCTCGTCAACACCCAGTTGTCCCACTCTGCATTCCCCCCCGTTGCCGCTTTGCCTAGACCGCCGCCAAAACCTTCCCGTGTGTTACCCGCTACCCGCACACCTCCCCCTCCCCCCGCCCCCTCTTGCTCCTTGCTCCGTTTCCCATCCGGCCTTGGATCTCCCTCCCCCCCCACAGCTTTGCCGGCTCATTCTGCCCGTGTGCGTGGCAGACGTCGTCAAAATTGTGTTGAGCCGTTTGCGTCGTGTCGAAGTTGCGGAAACCCAGCCCCTTGCCAATGCCTTGATGGTGCCTGTTGGGCTTGCTGCTCCAACCCTCGTTGTTCCCACCATCGCAATCTTCCAGCCCGCCCCAGTTGCGCTCGCATCCCGCCGCCGCCGCCACCACCCAGGAACCCCTCCCGTCAGCAGACCCCTCGAGCAAATGCTCATCATGGCCAGCTTCGGCAAAGCCGGCCCGGCAGTACTTTGTCAGCTGGCGTTGCTGAATCAAGGTCTCACGACACGAGACCGCCTTTGCATCGTCGCTCGGGAAACGCTCGGGGCGCTCGGCAGTAGGCGGATCCGATGCGCCCAATCAATGCCGCCTGGCAGTGTTCAATTGGTCGAGTTCTGGGCGGCTGCATTGTGCGTTTCATGGCTTCACGCAGTTTTTGGCATCACATCGTTGCAACATCGCTTTACTGCAAGAGATTTTCTGTCCCACGAATACAGACATTCCTAATGATCAGCCGTTCGTTTTGATGGTCCTAGTGGTTCTCGTGGTCGTGATGTTGGTTTCCTTTGTCACAACACGTTGCAGCACCCACTCGTGCCAATCGCTTCAGTGCCAGATCAAACCGACATCCAGTGGCGCATCTTGAATCAAGCGGATGGGTTATCCAGCACGGCAGTGGCTTCGTTTTATAGGCCTAAAACCTCATTTCTCGCTCTCGTGCCATGTCGGCCGCGGTGATCGGACAGCTCTTGTCGGCATGTGCCGGAGCTTACTCGGCTGCCTCGTCGGCTGTGTGGTGGGCAGCTTCTTTGCCGCCGACGTGCAAGGAAAGTTTGACCCACGCAGCCCTCACGTGCAGTGGAGCCACGCCCCGGTACTTCACTTCGGGCTTCGGGCCGCTTATGCTTGCTTGGGGATGGCTGTTGTTGGGCATCCTTCTTGGTTTGCTCTTTCGCCGCGCGGCGGCCGCGATGGTCGCCTTAGCCGGTGGACGCCGTGCAGACGAAGCCAAGCACAGCTGGGAGGCCCTGCTGCGCGAACTGTCAGCCCGCACGCGGGACCCACGCAGGCACGAGGTGTTACACTACTTGCTGCAAGGGGGCGAAGCAGCGGTGCGCGAGTTGTCGCAAGCAACGAACCGCACACCCGCAGCGCTGATAGCACACCTCCTCAACGACAGCACGCCGGTGACAGACGCCGTGGCCCCGCGCCCCACGAGCGCGCCCGCTCGCCGACGCAGCGGGCGTCAGTAACGCTGCCGCGGGAAGCATGCGGGCGTGCCGGGCGGCAAGCAGCAGGCTCGGGCGACGTCCGCAAATGGACGCCGCACCCGCACCGTGGCAGGCGAGTTGGGGAGGCTGCGCACCCTGGGCCGCCGTCCGACGACCTCGAGCTGCGCCGACAGCGTGCGCTGCATGCCCTCGGGCAGATGCAATTGTTGGCGCCAAGCACCCGCCCGGCCGCATTACGCGACCACCACGCAGACGCGGATGCTGCTGAAACCGTCTCGGACACGCTCAGTGCGACCACCGCTTTCGCCTCTCCGCGGGGAGATGCCCCCCAACCACTTTCGGGAGCGATGGCCCCGGTGGCACCGGAAGAAGCGACACCAGGCTTCACACCACCACCTTCGCCGGATCAGCGCGCACGCTCGCCGGCTTCTGGACACGAGCCCCTGCCCTGGCAAGATGCCCGCCCGCCGAGCTCCTTGGCTGGCGAGCGCAATTCATGGCTGTACATACCATTGCTGCATGCTGGGGCAGGCAACTTGACCGCGCACGCCCAACATGAATGGCGATCGCGGCCCGGGCTCGGCCCTCGTTTCTGGGAGCTCGCATCCCTGCTGCGCGATGCGCCGCCAGTCCCGCCGTCGGGGCTCGCCCAGACTGTGCTTGCGGTCGCCGAGTGTGAAGCTCACGAAGCTCACCGAGCCACCTCAGCGGAAGATCGAGCATTGGCGGCAAGTCTTTCCGCCATGCCCGACGCCCCGCTGTGCCTAAAGGCCGCAGTGAGGGTTTGCATGGCCCCCGATGGCTACGTCACGGCAGCGGTGCAAGCATGCAGCGTTGTTGGAATCTTACCCGGCACGAACACCAATCGCCCGCCGCAGGCACCACGCCTCGCGTCCGCCGCCGCGGCCGCCGCCACGGCCGCCGCCACTCCACGACACGCGCGGAGTCACCCTTGCCCTACAGCGAGCACGCCGACGACCGCGTCCCCACCTGCCCAGCCGCTGCCGGAGACCACGATGCCGCTGCGAACGCTACGCCAGCAAGCGTCCCCGATGCAGCCTGGCTGGCCTTAGACGCGGTGGACTTGGCCGACAAGCTCCGACATCCGGTGCCTACATTGCAAGACGTGCCACCCTTCATGAGAGCCGCTGTGCGGGCAGCGTTGACCCTGGCCCTTCAACAGCTCCGCGAGTCGCCTGCAGGCGCACCAGTCCATGATGCAGCACCGCCGTCGCGCGCGTGGAAGTTGTTTCTCCTCGCACCACGCATGCTGCTAGCTCGCACCCCCCTGCGCGGGCCAAGGGCGCGACGAATTGCTGTCCCGAGCAGCGGCCTTCCGACGAGGAGAGTGGGCACAGCTGCTGGTCGCAGCACGTCGACTCCACAAGCCCCGTGAGCAGCAGGGTGGCTGCGTCGATGTCGAGGCTTTAGCCGAGCGAAAACGTGAACAAGCGTGCGTCAAAGTGAGGAAAGGCGAGCTCTCCAGGGCCCGCCAACTCCTCACGGCCGCAGAGCTTGCGCCCGGCAGCGAGGCCACTTGGCATCTGCTGACAGACCCTGCCCGCCGCCCCCCGCGTGCACGCCAGGCGGTCCCGGCAGACATTGCAGGCTACCAGCCGAGCAGTCCCCTTGTGCTCAGCCCGACCGCTGTTGCAGCGGCCTTGCGGGATACGAAGCGTGGTGGAGCGGCAGGGTTGACGGGCATGCGAGCAGAGCATTTGAAAATCCTGCTCCAGGACCAGCCAGCTCTAGAGCTTCTCGCTCATGCCGCCACCCGGTTGGCAAACGCGCAGGTACCAGCAGATGTCGCACCAGGACTGGCTTTGGCTCGCCTCACTGCTCTCAGCAAACCAGACGGAAGTGTGCGTGGCATAGCGACAGGCGACGTGTTCCGCCGCCTCGTGTCGCGTGCTTTGGCGAAAGGCTGGGCAAACACTTTCGACACAGCCACTCGCCCCTACCAGTTTGCCTTGCAGGCTCGAGCGGGCACGGATGCGCTGGCGGCGCATGTCCGTGTGGCCCTGGACCAGGACCCAGACCAAGTCCTGGTGTCGCTGGATGGGCGAAGCGCCTACGACACGATCTCGCGCACCTCCTTTCTGACTGCGCTCAAATCCGTTGCGCCCGGGACGCCTGTGCTGAACAGACGTCCTGGGTAAATGTTGTGCTGCTGGAGCTTGCCCGTATTGGTGTAGCTCCCCTTTCAAGTTGGGGCATCGTCACCGGTGCACCCCAGACGGTTGTGAAGTCTTGGTTGCGTCATGTACGCGATGTCGTATCTCGGCATTGCAACTTGCTTTATTCAAACCTTTTGCACTGCACTGACTCCCTGGAGTGCTACGCTCGATGTCAGAAACGACCGCAACTGCACAGGGTCGTTTACAGGCATGCTTGTCCCACGGCTGCCAGATTCTGGGGTCTAGCGCCGCGCGGTGTGGACATCATGACTTTTTGGACGGTCGGTTTGCGCGTCATCGCAACGGCATGGTACTGCACTCATGCCGGTTTTGCGCCAATGGCCGTGACACCCTGTCTCATGCACTCTTGGATTGTGTTGCCTATTCCCAACAACGCCGCCGCTGGCGACAGCAAACTCGGAGATCAAACACGCTGAGCTTGGAAACACTCTTCAGCACAGACCCAGCCATAAACACTGCACGTGACATCTTACGCAATGTCGTGTTTGTTGCCACCATCTGCCGCGATGCGTCGGCGTGTGAAATGTGAACGTGGATCCCAGATCCACTTTCTGACTGAGCGGGGCATTGATGATATTGTATTTAAAAATCTTACTCCTTCATTGTTTGTACGTGTGTGTGTGTGTGTGTGTGTGTGTGTGTGTTGGTCCTTGTTTTGCATACTAGGGTATGTTGAAACTGTGATCATGACGATGGTTTCACTTCTGACGGTGTCTCACGGTCGTTCAAGAACATGTCTCTCCTGCCCTGTGGGTGGATGCCTTTGCAAGATTGGTTGCCGGTGGCGATTTGTTGTATTTCGCAATTGTTGCTTTAAGTACATCGTGCTTCGCGAAAGAGTCGTCGGCATACATGGCGTATGGGGAGCGCGTGTGCCGTCGCTTCGATGCTTGCGAGAAGCACATGCAGCAACCGCTGCCACGGCGTGGAAGCCGTTCCGGTTCGCACACCGCTTGCTGCTTGCCCGCACGGAGCACCGGGGCTCGCAAGGTGGTGCCGACGTGTTTGGGCGGGTCGCACCGTTCCAGCCGATTATCGGACTGATCAGGCTGATCCATACAAGCTGTTCTTGTTGGGGCGGAAGATTAGTGCAACAACTTGCAACATTCGCGGGCAGGCTGCACTCCGCGTTAGCCGTGTAGAGCAGAGCATCGTAACAAAGCCACCAGCAAGACAGCCGCGAAAGCGGCACCGAGCCCGCGCGAAAGTGCGGCAATGTGAGCTGTCACGCTCACGTCACGTCCTGAACCTATCATCGACCAAAAAGCGGCGATTGAAGAAGACTGCGTGTGCTGCATGACGGCCTCTGCTTCCAGGGGCAAGAAATCCAACTAACCGTTTGCAACATTTAGCAAACCGGATGAGTGCACAAGACAGCGCGAGATGTGGCTGAGAGGCGGTGGCGTAGCCGTGTGTTTGCTCAGGGCCGGAGCAAGAGGAAATGTGCGATAATTTGACACGCCCACTTGCATGAAACGAGTGAACTCGTGGCCTCCACAGCTTGCCCACGCCTGCTCGACGTGGGCGCTTACAATGCTTGTGGCCACGTGCAGCAAGCACCGGGAATGCCACAGTTTGACGGCTCAGACCGATTTTTCCATGTTCGCACCATTTTTCGCAGCCAGGCGGAATGGGGAGAGGATGGAAACAGCTTGTCACTAGCATTCGCTAGCTTGTTTTTTGCTGGTCTGATGAAGCGTTGCCAGGTTCAGGATGGCTACAACAAAGCTATCTGTTTTCGTGCTGCTGGTAGGTGCAGGCCGGTGCCGTTTGCTCTTTGTGTTTGCAGGCATTTCCGACTCGGTTTTCCCAAGGTCTGCTCGGAGAACCCGCTGGCGCTTATGGCGGGGAGGTTGCTCTTGGGGAGGCTTGGCGTGTGTTACAAGAGTGGGAGGTGGTGATGTATTAGCACCGTAAGCACTACCACCACAATAATCCACTATGACATCATTCTTCCTCGGATTACCATTGTTTCCACCTCATGCCACCACCGCCCGCCACCACCAGGGCCATTACCATGCCACTGCCACAACAAATGCCGCTGCCACTGCTACGGCCACTGCCACTGCCATTACCACTAGCGCTACCACGGCCTTCGCGACCACTACCATTTCACCCTCCTCGTCCCTAACGCGACGGATGCCGCGAAGCCAACGCTTTATGCAGGCATCCAAACGCATCAAGGATCAAGCCTACCAGCTTGTGGCATCTACCTCGGGTTCAAATCCGATCTGTATGTTTCAATTTTTTCGGCAGAACAGGAAGCATGTCTTTACAAGAGGAAAGGCATCCGATACTGTTGTACGCGTATAACATCATCAAGATTAGAATTCGTGGGGGTGGTTACATTACTTGCTTCTATTCGCATTCTTATCAAAAGCATAACATGTCTTTAGTTTATCTAACCTATACCTACTTTAGCAATCTGTAGCGGAATACCATGCAAACGAATAAGATGTAGCATGGGGTATTCTAGTGTGCCACCATCACAAATCAGCTTTTCGTGCGGGTGGGCATTGTACCTTCGTCTATTACCAGCTTGAAGCAGTGGCCTGCGAGGGGAAAAAACACTGTCAGACATGCCAACATAGAAAACGATTTAATAGACGGGCCACCTATTTCATAAGCAGGGGGATGTTGCAGAACCAACAGGAAATACAGCTTTGACGTCGGCTGTTGCCTTCCGTGATCCTCCACGGTTTTGCCGACGGACTGCGAGATGCATGCCTGTACCAAGCTAGTACCGTAGAAGGTTCTCCAAGGTGAAGGATCCGTTGGTAGAAGCTTTGTTTGGGCCTTTGCTTGTTACAAATTACCCCACAGCCCTAGATGTTTGGTCCTGGTTCCGCAGCAACAAAGCAGGCACCACATCCCATCAAGGCATTCAGCTTCACTGATCTTCGAGCTTGGCTCGGCACCATTGTCCGGAACTTCTCAGCCCAACCCTTTTCCTTTTCTTCCGGCCCACCGGCGGCACTTTTCCACACCAGAACCTGCAGAATCCCATCTGCAAAGCAGGAACTGTCAGACATCCCATCCCAATACCAAAACCCTCAGAAAGTCATTGCTTCACATAGTCAGTCAGGTAGAGATTCACAGACTTGGAAAGCCTCAATTCTAATACCGCTTAATTGACAGCCTTCCATGTGAAAATCTCGGTAGAGCCATTTGGAACTCCAAGCACATAAGCATAAGCATTCTATGATGATATCGGAACATTATATTGTGTCTTCATCCTAAGACGGGGTATAAATGGGCTATCCCCTGGATATCCTTATCCTTGCTTTAGATCCGCAGCAGGGAAAGATGGGAGGCTTCGATGCAGCCTTCATCGTTTTCGATTCTGAGACATTTGAGGCTTACCTCGTTGAGCCGTAGGCTTTCCAACTTGCTTAGGCTGTGAGATTCTTCTTGCTCTCCAATTCTTTCGCCCGCCTGAGCCGGGGGGCGGCATGGCCGCACCCTGCGTTGCCGGGGTTTCTGTTTCGTCGCCTGTTTGGCCGGGGGCTGGCATAGCTGCCATGCGAGGGTTTTTGTGTTATATTTTGTTCCTACATCTGCTTGTATAGGAAGTGGCTGGGCTCGCTTTCGATGGGGCTCAACCCTCAAATTACACACAACTCTGAGGTCCATGTTGAGGGCCCCAAACCTGCTTTTCCAAATACTTTTTGTGGCATCCAAGCTTGGGCGGCAGGGCCGGGAACGCCATATAGTTCCGACGGCCCCCGGCCCAACCAACTTACCTTGCACTCACCTTGGACCCTGGGAAATCCCTATCGTTAACGCGCATGACATCATGCCCCGGCTCAATAGAGAAGTCCACTCCCCGCAGGGTCCGCCTGTGACCGTCCACCACGTGCATGCCGCAGTAGTCGTCCAAATGCTTCCTTGCTTGATATGCAAGTGGAGGGCGATGCAAAGCTTGACCCATCAGACAGTTGACAGACACAAGCGACCCGCAGCACGAAACTTCAGCCCGCTCCATGCAGCTGAAGCAGCTAGTTCGCACCGGACCCAACCCAACTGCTACTTAGGTCAAGCTTTAAGTCTAGAAGTTCGACAACCCATCACACGATGATATCATGCGTGTGGCGTGACGTACATACAGGGTGGATTTGATTTTGGGAAGTTTTACGAAGATGGATGTATGCTTTGGCAAAGAGACGATGTTTGCAATCAGCTCAGAGATTTGTAGCAAGCCGCTTGTGCACATCCAGAAGGAGAATTGACCCAGCGCTTATGCTTCTTCGGACGTTTTGTTTGAGTTTTAGCTGCGCCGTGCAGCTGCAGAGTATTAATCTACACTAATAACCGTGACAAAAAATGACCGTATTTCGCCAGTCATCATACACTTCACTGCAAGCCAGGCTTCAAGGATCCTCCAGGCAGTTGATCGCACGTCCGAGCTAGGAGATCGTGTCGAAGATGAATTTTAACTGATGCTTGGAGTTTTGCGAGATATACCTGCAGGCCCATTGCTGATAAACAATCCGACAGAATGTTCACATCCCGCGAGATGGCAGCAGACCGGACTGATGTCTTCAACCAGCCCCCCTTGCATCATCTCACGACGTCTGCGTCAGTTTGTGCCAAATTTAACAAATCCTGCACGTGTGCACCGACCGTGGCCAGGTGCGGCTCGAAAATGGCAGTCAGCCAACTTGGATGAATGTTGGCCTCGCACCAAGCACCCGTCATCTAGTGATGAACTTTCCTGCCTTGTGAAGTTCTGTGGAAGTTGAAGGAAAAATGTGCGGATTCTGCAAAGCTTCGATTCCGAGCATAAAGGAGTGACTGGTCTGCCGTTTGTTCATTTGTCGGCTGCTGGTCGCTGAGTGGTGTTCCATGCACTCCGTAATGCCACTGCAGCTCTATGCCTCTCTGCCTGTCTGCTTCCCTCAGGAGACATTCGCCTCCTGTGCAGAATACTGTGCTGCCCAAGGTGTCCGAAGGGAAAGGGTAGGGGTTCACGTACGCCGGTCTTTCTGAGGCTCGAATGTGCGGTTTTACTGTCATGTTTAACTTCAGCGAATCAGCTTTGTCATATTTTAGAATGTTGAGAGCGCCAGCGGTTGCCTTAACTTTGAGCTTTCCTGAAAGGCGGCTGGCAATGCAAATCAGCCGCCTTTGCCGATGTGGGCAGCTGCGACGCGTGTCCTGGGCTGCTCTTGTCTCTATGTGTTCCGCTATCGTCAGCCTTCCCACGGCCTGTGCCAGGAAATTTGCAGCTACCTGTGATACTTTGTTCGAGGCCGACCGCTAAGTGAAATCAAGTGAGTGGTTGAGCAGTTTGCAAAGGTTTAGCTGCATCCGCGGTCTTCTCGAGGTGTACGACCATGCAATTTGTGAGTGCGAGCCATCGCAAATGCATCAGATACAGTTCAAGGCGTCGTGTTTTGAGTGTGGAGGGATTCGAGGAGAGAAGAGAAAACACCTGGGTTCCGGGAGATCATCGCAGGAGTCCAATGATGCATTTGCGGTCGCAATTGCCACACCAGAGGCCGTGGGTTGGAATGTGTTGTTGATCATATGCACCTGCGGTGAACATGTATCTGTGCATGTTCCTGTCTTGTGCGCGCTCTCACTGTCTTGTGCTGTGGGAGAAGTGCCGTGTGGTCGAGGCCGATGCTAAGTGCCTCACTAGTGTGGTCCGAACCTCAGCTCTTCAGGGGAGATTGCTGCAATCCTGTACTGTTCATCTGTTTTGTTTGGCTGGCATCTCAGGCCACGGGCTGCAGTTCCATCAAGGACAAGCATAGTTGCCTCAGCACCATGCATTGCAGTTCCAGAAATCGTATGAGATACGGCAATGGCGAATGTCCTTAGCTTTACTAGCACTAGCCTTATATACCTGTTGTGCGCTGTGATGTGAGACGGTTCTTAGTCTAAGGCAGCAAGGATGGGAGTTCTGAAGCGACCTACTGCGGGGTAAAGCTTGCTGGAGAAGCCTGTGTTTGGTGCGGTGGAGTGCTGGGTCCTCAGAAGACACCAAGACGGCTTGCAGCGAGTTTGTGAGTCCGAGGGCATGCACGTCACACGATCCTGACGTGATGTGCGTTGGGTATGACTTCCTGGTCCATGGACAGGGCCATGTGCTAGACTCAGTTTTGTAACATGCTTCAAGAAGCATCAAGACCTGGGTGGCTGGAAGATTTCTTGCGAGTTCTAAGACGTGGTGTGGCCGTAGCTCAGAGCATATCGCAGGCCTATGCAAGCCGCCATGTCGCAGGATCCTCAGAAGGAGCTCGTAAGAAAGCCGTCAGCAGGAACTACTGTACCCGTGCATGGGTCGCATTATGTCGCGCTTCAAAAATTATGCCCAATTGAGGAAGCCAGCGCTGTTGATGTGGCAGGTTGCAACAAGGCGGACGCCTTTTTTCCAAAGGCAGCTGCGAAAACTGCAGCGACGCAGGCGGCTTCGACGAGAAACTTTGGCAACGTTGGCTGCCTGAAGCGTCTGGAGCTGAGCTTCCAGTGCTTTCACACTGACCATGCGCACATACACAAACACAAACACACAAACACACAAACACACAAACACACAAACACACAAACACACAAACACACAAACACACAAACACACAGACACACAGACACACAGACACACAGACACACCAACCCACCAACACACAAACACACAAACACACGAACACACACACACACACAAACACACAGAGACACACACACACACACACACCAGACACACACAGAGACACACCAGAGACACACAGAGACACACAGAGACGCACAGAGACACACAGAGACACACCAGAGACACACAGAGACACACAGAGACACACAGAGACGCACAGAGACACACAGAGACGCACAGAGACGCACAGAGACACACAGAGACACACAGAGACACACAGAGACACACAGAGACACACAGAGACACACAGAGACACACAGAGACGCACAGAGACACACAGAGACACACAGAGACACACCGAGACACACCGAGACACACAGAGACGCACAGAGACGCACAAAGACACACAGAGGTACACAGAGACACACAGAGACACAGAGACACAGAGACATAGGCACACAGACACACAAAGAGAACGAGACACGGAGACACAGAGACAAGACACGGAGACACGGAGACACAGAGACACAGAGACACAGAGACACACAGACACAGAGACACAGAGACACACAGAGACACACAGAGACACACAGAGACACACAGAGACACGCAGAGACACAGAGACACCGAGACACAGAGACACACAGACACAGAGACACACAGAGATATAGAGACACAGAGACACAGACACACACACACACAGACACAGAGACACAGACACACACAGGCACACACACAGACACACAGAGACACAGACACACAGACACACAGACACGCAGACACACAGACACACAGACACACAGACACACAGACACACAGACACACAGACACACAGACACACAGACACACAGACGCACAGACGCACAGACACACAGACACACAGACACACAGACACACAGACACACAGACACACAGACACACAGACACACAGACACACAGACACACAGACACACAGACACACAGACACACAGACACACAGACACGCAGACACACAGACACACAGACACACAGACACACAGACACACAGACACACAGACACACAGACACACAGACACACAGACACACAGACACACAGACACACAGACACACAGACACACGGACACACGGACACACGACACACAGACACACAGACACACAGACACACAGACACACAGACACACAGACACACAGACACACAGACACACAGACACACAGACACACAGACACACAGACACACAGACACACAGACACACAGACACACAGACACACAGACACACAGACACACAGAAACACAGACACACAGACACACAGACACACAGACACACAGACACACAGACACACAGACACACAGACACACAGACACACAGACACACAGACACACAGACACACAGACACACACACAGACACACACACACACACACTGACTGATTGATTCGGCCAAGAGCAAGAGTGCAGAAAGGAAGGAAGGGAGACGCATGTTGCACTTGCTGGTTGTGTATGTCAGATTGCGGCAAACGTGCGAAACGGCTGCATGCTCAGTAAACTGATGTGGCAAAATCTGGAAAACTGATCCTGCTGCCTCAAGGGGCCAGCGTTTTCTAATCTTGCTGCCTCAGGGGGCCCAGCCTGCAGGTACACAGTTCAGCGTCCTGAACTGCTTCCCCCTCCATGGCATAGCTTTGTTGCTTTGGGTCTGCCAAGGAGTGCCCAATGCCCCTGCAAATTCTATGTGCAGTTTAGGAAGACAACATGTGGCTGACAATAACGAGCAATCGAGAATAGGAGTGACCCTCTGCTCCCATGTGCTAGGAAGGTTCACACACACACACACACACACTCACTCACTCACTCACTCACTCACTCACTCACTCACTCTCTCTCACACTCACACACACACACACACACACACGCGCGCGCGCTGCGTACGTACGTCAGCGAAAGTGTAGAAAGTTTAGAAAGTGTTGTGGCAGATCGAAGTGCTGCCATGGTCGAGCCTGGCATGCTCCTGTAACACACACGAGGTCAACCTGATGGGTGCAACACCATCAAGGACTTCAGAGAGGCACGAGGGGCTTCTGCTGCAGTCCTGTGTCTACCAGGACAATGAGACGTGCTTGTCGAGTATGGATGGTCGGCCCTATGCACAAGTTGCCGGACTCAAGGCGCTATTGTATTTGTTTGGTTTGCGTTTTTTGGTCGGGGTGTTGAATGGGCGAAAATATCATTGCGCGCGCAAACAGCGGACGCGCACCGCTAAACCCGAGAAACCCGAGAAACCCGAGAAACCCGAGAAACCCGAGAAACTCGAGAAACCCGAGAAACCCGAGAAACCCGAGAAACCCGAGAAACCCGAGAAACCCGAGAAACCTGAGAAACCCGAGAAACCCGAGAAACCCGAGAAACCCGAGAAACCCGAGAAACCCGAGAAACCCGAGAAACCCGAGAAACCCGAGAAACCCGAGAAACCCGATAAACCCGATAAACCTGATATCAGGGGCGCCCCATAAACCCAAGGCTCCACCCTCGGAGTTCATGATCTGTAAGGGTTGCGACTTAGAAGGAAGGCAGGGGTGCCCCAGCAACCCAAGGCCCGACCCTCGGAGTTCAAGATTTGAAAGAGTTCTGATTAAACAAACCAGGGGCGTCCATGATCTGTAAGGGTTGCGACTTAGAAGGAAGGCAGGGGTGCCCCAGCAACCCAAGGCCCGACCCTCGGAGTTCAAGATTTGAAAGAGTTCTGATTAAAAAAAAACAGGGGCGTCCGAGGCCCCACCCCCGGAGTTCAAGCTCACTAAGAGGCGGTGATCTGAAAATCATGGGCGCTCCATCAGTCCAAGTCCTCATCCTCGGAGTTCAACATCTGTCAAAGCTTTGATTTCAGAATCAGGGGTGCCCCATCAGTCCAAAGCCCCACCCTCGGAGTTCAAGGATCTGTAAGGGTTCTGATTTAAAAATCAGGGGCGCCCCGCTCCATCAGAGTCCAAGGCCCCACCCTCGGAGTTCAAGATCTGTAAGGGTTGTGATTTAGAAATCAGGGGTGCCCCAGCAACCCAAGGCCCGACCCTCGGAGTTCAAGCTTTGAAAGAGTTCTGATTAAAAAAACAGGGGCGTCCGAGGCCCCACCCCCGGAGTTCAAGCTCACTAAGAGGCGGTGATCTGAAAATCATGGGCGCTCCATCAGTCCAGGGCCTCTCCTCGGAGTTCAACATCTTGATTTAAGAATCAGGGGTGCCCCATCAGTCCAAAGCCCCACCCTCGGAGTTCAAGGATCTGTAAGGGTTCTGATTTAAAAATCAGGGGCGCCCCGCTCCATCAGAGTCCAAGGCCCCACCCTCGGAGTTCAAGATTTGAAAGAGTTCTGATTAAACAAACCAGGGGCGTCCGAGGCCCCACCCCCGGAGTTCAAGCTCACTAAGAGGCGGTGATCTGAAAATCATGGGCGCTCCATCAGTCCAGGGCCTCCTCCTCGGAGTTCAACATCTGTCAAAGCTTTGATTTAAGAATCAGGGGTGCCCCATCAGTCCAAAGCCCCACCCTCGGAGTTCAAGGATCTGTAAGGGTTCTGATTTAAAAATCAGGGGCGCCCCGCTCCATCAGAGTCCAAGGCCCCACCCTCGGAGTTCAAGATCTGTAAGGGTTGTGATTTAGAAATCAGGGGTGCCCCAGCAACCCAAGGCCCGACCCTCGGAGTTCAAGATTTGAAAGAGTTCTGATTAAAAAAACCAGGGGCGTCCGAGGCCCCACCCCCGGAGTTCAAGCTCACTAAGAGGCGGTGATCTGAAAATCATGGGCGCTCCATCAGTCCAAGTCCTCATCCTCGGAGTTCAACATCTGTCAAAGCTTTGATTTAAGAATCAGGGGTGCCCCATCAGTCCAAAGCCCCACCCTCGGAGTTCAAGGATCTGTAAGGGTTCTGATTTAAAAATCAGGGGCGCCCCGCTCCATCAGAGTCCAAGGCCCCACCCTCGGAGTTCAAGATCTGTAAGGGTTGTGATTTAGAAATCAGGGGTGCCCCCCCAGCAACCCAAGGCCCGACCCTCGGAGTTCAAGCTTTGAAAGAGTTCTGATTAAAAAAACCAGGGGCGTCCGAGGCCCCACCCCCGGAGTTCAAGCTCACTAAGAGGCGGTGATCTGAAAATCATGGGCGCTCCATCAGTCCAGGGCCTCCTCCTCGGAGTTCAACATCTGTCAAAGCTTTGATTTAAGAATCAGGGGTGCCCCATCAGTCCAAAGCCCCACCCTCGGAGTTCAAGGATCTGTAAGGGTTCTGATTTAAAAATCAGGGGCGCCCCGCTCCATCAGAGTCCAAGGCCCCACCCTCGGAGTTCAAGATTTGAAAGAGTTCTGATTAAACAAACCAGGGGCGTCCGAGGCCCCACCCCCGGAGTTCAAGCTCACTAAGAGGCGGTGATCTGAAAATCATGGGCGCTCCATCAGTCCAAGTCCTCATCCTCGGAGTTCAACATCTGTCAAAGCTTTGATTTCAGAATCAGGGGTGCCCCATCAGTCCAAAGCCCCACCCTCGGAGTTCAAGGATCTGTAAGGGTTCTGATTTAAAAATCAGGGGCGCCCCGCTCCATCAGAGTCCAAGGCCCCACCCTCGGAGTTCAAGATCTGTAAGGGTTGTGATTTAGAAATCAGGGGTGCCCCAGCAACCCAAGGCCCGACCCTCGGAGTTCAAGCTTTGAAAGAGTTCTGATCAAAAAAACCAGGGGCGTCCGAGGCCCCACCCCCGGAGTTCAAGCTCACTAAGAGGCGGTGATCTGAAAATCATGGGCGCTCCATCAGTCCAGTCCTCATCCGGAGTTCAACATTTGTCAAAGCTTTGATTTAAGAATCAGGGGTGCCCCATCAGTCCAAAGCCCCACCCTCGGAGTTCAAGGATCTGTAAGGGTTCTGATTTAAAAATCAGGGGCGCCCCATCAACCCAAGGCCCCACCCTCGGAGTTCAAGATTTGAAAGAGTTCTGATTAAAAAACCAGGGGCGTCCAAGGCCCCACCCCCGGAGTTCAAGCTCACTAAGAGGCGGTGATCTGAAAATCATGGGCGCTCCATCAGTCCAAGTCCCCATCCTCGGAGTTCAACATCTGTCAAAGCTTTGATTTCAGAATCAGGGGTGCCCCATCAGTCCAAAGCTCCACCCTCGGAGTTCAAGGATCTGTAAGGGTTCTGATTTAAAAATCAGGGGCGCCCCGCTCCATCAGAGTCCAAGGCCCCACCCTCGGAGTTCAAGATCTGTAAGGGTTGCGACTTAGAAGGAAGGCAGGGGTGCCCCAGCAACCCAAGGCCCGACCCTCGGAGTTCAAGATTTGAAAGAGTTCTGATTAAACAAACCAGGGGCGTCCATGATCTGTAAGGGTTGCGACTTAGAAGGAAGGCAGGGGTGCCCTAGCAACCCAAGGCCCGACCCTCGGAGTTCAAGATTTGAAAGAGTTCTGATTAAAAAAAAACAGGGGCGTCCGAGGCCCCACCCCCGGAGTTCAAGCTCACTAAGAGGCGGTGATCTGAAAATCATGTGCGCTCCATCAGTCCAAGTCCTCATCCTCGGAGTTCAACATCTGTCAAAGCTTTGATTTCAGAATCAGGGGTGCCCCATCAGTCCAAAGCCCCACCCTCGGAGTTCAAGGATCTGTAAGGGTTCTGATTTAAAAATCAGGGGCGCCCCGCTCCATCAGAGTCCAAGGCCCCACCCTCGGAGTTCAAGATCTGTAAGGGTTGTGATTTAGAAATCAGGGGTGCCCCATCAACCCAAGGCCCGACCCTCGGAGTTCAAGATTTGTAAGAGTTCTGATTAAAAAAACCAGGGGCGTCCAAAGCCCCACCCCCGGAGTTCAAGCTCACTAAGAGGCGGTGATCTGAAAATCATGGGCGCTCCATCAGTCCAAGTCCTCATCCTCGGAGTTCAACATCTGTCAAAGCTTTGATTTCAGAATCAGGGGTGCCCCATCAGTCCAAAGCTCCACCCTCGGAGTTCAAGATCTGTAAGGGTTCTGATTTAAAAATCAGGGGCGCCCCGCTCCATCAGAGTCCAAGGCCCCACCCTCGGAGTTCAAGATCTGTAAGGGTTGGGATTAGAAATCAGGGGCGCCCCGCCCCATCAGAGTTCCAAGGCCCCGACCCTCGGAGTTCAAGCTTTGAAAAGTTCTGATTAAAACAACCAGGGGCGTCCGAGCCCCACCCCCGGAGTTCAAGCTCACTAAGAGGCGGTGATCTGAAAATCATGGGCGCTCCATCAGTCCAGGGCCTCCTCCTCGGAGTTCAACATTTGTCAAAGCTTTGATTTAAGAATCAGGGGTGCCCCATCAGTCCAAAGCCCCACCCTCGGAGTTCAAGGATCTGTAAGGGTTCTGATTTAAAAATCAGGGGCGCCCCGCTCCATCAGAGTCCAAGGCCCCACCCTCGGAGTTCAAGATTTGAAAGAGTTCTGATTACACAAACCAGGGGCGTCCGAGGCCCCACCCCCGGAGTTCAAGCTCACTAAGAGGCGGTGATCTGAAAATCATGGGCGCTCCATCAGTCCAGGGCCTCCTCCTCGGAGTTCAACATCTGTCAAAGCTTTGATTTAAGAATCAGGGGTGCCCCATCAGTCCAAAGCCCCACCCTCCGAGTTCAAGGATCTGTAAGGGTTCTGATTTAAAAATCAGGGGCGCCCCGCTCCATCAGAGTCCAAGGCCCCACCCTCGGAGTTCAAGATCTGTAAGGGTTGTGATTTAGAAATCAGGGGTGCCCCAGCAACCCAAGGCCCGACCCTCGGAGTTCAAGCTTTGAAAGAGTTCTGATCAAAAAAACCAGGGGCGTCCGAGGCCCCACCCCCGGAGTTCAAGCTCACTAAGAGGCGCTGAAAATCATGGCCGCTCCATCAGTCCAGGGCCTCCTCCTCGGAGTTCAACATCTGTCAAAGCTTTGATTTAAGAATCAGGGGTGCCCCATCAGTCCAAAGCCCCACCCTCGGAGTTCAAGGATCTGTAAGGGTTCTGATTTAAAAATCAGGGGCGCCCCGCTCCATCAGAGTCCAAGGCCCCACCCTCGGAGTTCAAGACCTGTCAGGGTTCTGACTCAAGAATCGGTCGGTAGTCATAGATTTCAGAAGACTTTCAGAAGAACAAAGACACAATAACAAACCCAAAACAGTTCCGAAGTGCGCGTAAAATTCCGGGTGCACGCACAAGAGCACGTCAATTGAGTCGAGATTCGTGGTCGTTCGCCAAAAAATCCGCTGAATAGGATGCAAGAACAACACGTGAAATGTAAAAACTCTCTCTGACTGACAGTTGAAGAGAAATCGCAGGACTGCGGGAACTGCTGCCAGCAATGAGCCACAAAAACCTGGTACGACAGGGCAGGCTGCAAAACCAAGGACACAACCAGGCTGCAACAGCCACAGGGTAGTATTGCCTGTGTGCCAGGCTGTATAGGCAGAATTCCAGCGCAATTCCAGCGCAATCGGCGCAATTCGGCGCAATCGGCGCAATTCGGCGCAATCGGCGCAATCGGCGCAATTCGGCGCAATTCGGCGCAGACGGCGCAATTGGCGCAATTCGGCGCAATTGGCGCAATTCGGCGCAATCGGCGCAATTCGGCGCAATCGGTGCTTTCCAGCGCATTCCAACCCATTCGGCGCATTCCAGCGCAATCGGCGCATTCCAGCGCAATCGGCGCAATCCAGCGCATGGCCATCTGCGGCCACTGAGCCCGCACGCACTGGAAAATATCATGTGCCAAGAGCTGGCCTCAAGCTCACAAGAATATGTGCTATTAGGCTATCCTCCCAGCATGCCCGTTCGGGTGCTGGTTGCGCATCGACCGCCGCCACCACACCCACCACCCACCACCACCACCACCCACCACCACCACCACCACCACCACCACCACCACACCCACCACCACCACCACCACCACCACCACCACCACCACCTCCACCACCACCACCTCAACACCACCACCACCACAACACCACCATCACCACCACCACCACCATCACCACCCACCACCACCCACCACCACCACCACCACCACCACCACCACCACCACCACCACCACCACCACCACCACCACCACCACCACCACCACCACCACCACCCACCACCACCACCACCACCACCACCACCACCACCCACTCAGCGCTTCTAAAGCAGTAGCTGTCAGCAGTAAGTCGTGAGTCGTGTTTTTACGAACAGTAAATTTCATACTAAGGAAGGCAGCTCCTGCTACGACTGTACTGCACGTTTGGCGCACCTTTTACTCAGAACGGGCCATTCCGATCTGTGCAGATCGAGGAGGCTAAACTGGTCTTGCAAACCCAGGTAACACTGCAACACTCTTCACTGTTCACTGCCTCGATGGGATCCACCGCTGTTTTAGTCGTCGAACGGAATTTTCCGTTCCATTGCCGGCTGGTTCTGGTACATGTTGCTGCTGGACAGAGACCGGGAGGGTGTCCTTTGCAACAGTGGTTGGGCCGGTGTCCGTCGTATATGAGGTGGTACTCACGCGGAGAACTGCAGCCCAGATAAATGGTGCTTACAGGCGCAGGGTTCGAAGCTCACGGGGTAGAGGATGCGGATTCACGCGGGCAGACTTCAGGGGCAGGGCCATCGCAAGCGACAATCTGGATTGTACACGTCCAAAGAGCTGCGTTGCAACGCACACCCAGCAACCACGGTGCTTGGAGAACAGATTCAACAGCGAGTTCGGAAAGCCGCAAATCTGCCACAATGCCAGTTGTTCCAAAGCCACCCCGTGTTGGTATTGCCGTGCAATTGACTTGCTTGAACGACATTCTGGAATGGCCAAGTCGAGGTTCGGTTTTTTGCCGTAAAATCCTCTCAAGGAAGACCCGTCCCCCCAGGGCTTGTTCTTTATTCTTTGCCGAGGCTCTACAGAGATGGACAACCTGTGTTGTTTATTTGCCTTTATACTGTTGATACGTGCTGGCAATCGCGTCATGTATGCTCGTCGGATTTAACATCTAGAACACATGACAGGTGAAAAGCTTCAGGGTAGTTGCTGCAAGTTGGAGTGAACATGCGCCCATGAACCCTACCTGGTCCCAAATCGGTGCCTCTTGTGTCACAGGTTTAGCGGTGCTCGTGAGGTCCGTAAAACCACGTTGAATTTCGAACATCAGTGCCACGCAAAAGTGTTGATTGGGGCCATCCTTTTGTGGTGTTCAGCCTGCTGGTGAACAGTCTTCGCTGCACAGACTATGTTGATGAGCCAACAACTATCTGACTTCAGGTGGAGGGTCAGCCGTGCGTATGGTGTGGTGGGATGCCAGAAGCCTCAGGGCGCTTGGGCTTTGGGTTTTCACTCAGAGAATGTGCATGGGACCTATAGGCCATGTACGACAAAGAAGGGTAACCTCTGCGAGCCCTACGAGTTCGTGGTCCACGGGGAAGGCCACCTTGGATCGGCTGGGTCTTCGTTGAGTCATGCTTGCTCTTCAGCTGCCCTGCTATCAGGACACGCCGATTTAAACATCGAGCAAAGCTTCCATATGGCCGCTTGCGAGGAGAGGAGCTTCTGGGGCCACCATATTTCATGGGGTCCTCTCGGTGCAGGACGATAAGCCCGTCCATCGCAGCCTCACGACCTCCGTGGCTGAGGCTGGGGTGACTGCATCCGTGCCAGCCCCCGGTTCAGGGCGTGTAGGCCCCAGGCCCCAGGCTGGAAGTTGCCGGCGCCAGGTGGACTGTGGCTTCCCGAACCTGTGGAGTGGAGTCGGCCTGCACCCCACCGAAGGGAGCAAAGCGATGCAAAGTGCGCACGCGCTGCGTTCCTCGGCCCTTCCCGGACTGCTCCGCGCGCCAAGGCAAGACCTGTGGCTTGTGCAGGGTGCAGGTGGCGAAGCAGGCAGTGTCAGAGTCAGAGGCTGTGCGTGTCACTACCTGTGTCGTGTTACCGATCGGGTAGGCTGCGAAGTCCTACCTCAACTGCGAAGTCTATTGCCAGGCACGGGTAAAGCTTCAGGGCTCGCCGGGGTGCATGTGGTCGGCTCCGATGCGGCTTAGCCCTGACAATGGTTGCAGCATTCCAGCCTGCATGTATTTCAGTCCACATTGATGTGATGAGTCAGTGATGTACAGGAGCAGTGCTTGCCTTTCCCCTGCTGGGATTTTGCCGGGAACGGGAGGATTTGGTAACAGCTGGACTCGTAGCCCAATGGGCCTGATCGAAATCACCTGGAGCAGACCGGAGCATTCCAGCACTCCGCGCCGACATCACCTTGTTTGGAGTCTGCAGACTACAGCTCGGAGCATTCCGAAATTCCCACACTCCTTGCATGAGCTTGTCCGGAGACTCTTTGAGAGCCTCCTCTCGACTTAGCGCTATTTCGCCCAGCAGCTTCAATGATGCTGAACTTGCATCATCGCAAACCCTCCAGGCCACCTGAGATACAACTGACTCACAGACCAGATCACCAGATTCCCACCGCAACATGTCTGAGGAGCTGCTTCAGAGATACGTGCTTAGCACAGAGCAGAAAAGGAGACGCCGGTGTGCCTGGCGTGTCGTACCTGCTAGGAGGTGACGCCCCAATCTCATCTCAGAGGTGGCAGGGCCTGGTAGGGTTGATGTCGGTGGGGGCTGGAGACAAGGGCACACGATGGTAGCCGGTAGCCTTGCGCTCGGCCCCCCCAGGTCGCTGTTGACGGCTAATAAGGAAGAAATGAGGGTACGAATCATTGTATTAAAAATCACACGGAGGGGTAAGATAATATTACGTGAAAAGAAACAAAGTAAAACTATAATCAAAGCAATCACATTGATGTTACATGGTTCAGCAATTTGACAGACAGGCCACGTGTGAATGTTACTCACCGTGTCAGCTGCTCGCCAGGCACAAGGAGAGCTCGGCGACAAGTGTTGCGCACAAAGTCATTTTTGACAGAAACATGCTATGTTGTTCAGCAGATTGCAAGTGTTCATGGGCGCTTACTTGCCCGCGTTATGTCGCATTGCTCACAATTGCCGACAGGAGGTTTGTCTTGCCTGAAGGCTTACCGAGGACGTTTCATGAGCAGCAACCTGAGAGTGCGCCCTGAGTACTCGCAAAGCCAAAAGCGTCGCGTGCAGCAGAGGTTGTGATGTTGGGTGCGGCTCTCATTGAGCCCTTCTTGTGGATGGGTTTCCGGGAGCAGACGAAGTGTGAGAAAGCTGAGACCTGAGGTCTGAGATGAGCTGCAATGCCGCATTCGAGAATCACTCTCCAGTCTGCGAGTGCTCAAAGCCGGTCAATGCCATGGTGTCCGGTCTCAAAATCTTCTTTCCTAGGCATGTACAGATTTTGACTCGTTACAAGTGCAGATTTATTGGATGCAGTTTTCGGTCTTCTCATGTGGGCGTTGTGTTTGTGCTTGTTATAGAGTATGGTTGTTTTGTTTCGAGCGTTGCTTGTTAATGCTTCATGCTTTTATGCGTGCATGCCAGAGAATGATTATACGCTTGTTGCTGCACTTGTCGTCATTGTCAATACTTGGTGTACTGCTTGCACGGTTGATTTGCACATCGGATATGCAGACTTGGGGTTGCAGTGGCTTCGGATCTGGGCACTGAATCAATCGGCATGCCGCCTTGACGAGTTACCTTGCCGAGCAGTTTTGTAGAGGAGCGGGGGGTTGGGCGTGATGCACTTCCGTTGTTGACTTCCCAGGGCCGGGAGGTTTTGGGACCGAGACTGAGACGAGTTAGTTTGTTTTTTGTGTTTGTTTCTCTGTATATGTTCATTGATATGCACGGTGGTGGGCGAACTTTATTTGTGCGTTGTTTGGGCCACCTTTCGGGAACGAAATCGGTGGTACTGGCAGTGCTGCATTGGCTATGTTCATTGATCTGTTTCTGTTTGTGTGCATGCTTTGGCTTCGCTGGCAACTCGCCCTGCTGAGGATGCAGAGGTGTTGCCGTTTGCGGCCGTCACGGGCACTGGGCCGCGAAGTGTCAGAGCTCTAGATGCCATCGGTATTGGTGTGCCAGCCTCAGACATTGAAGACCTTGCTTGCAATTTCAATGTCGACACTTGCGTGTGGCTCAACACGGGCAACGTCAGCTGGGAGCAGAAGACGTACGCCGACTACTATGGCTACTATGGTTATGGTGATTCGGACGATCAGTGGCTGTTGGCTGCGGGGAGCGAGTCGGGCGGTCAGCACTTCATCTTGGAGAGCCTTGAGTTCAATCCCACCAACGCCACGAAGGCTCTGTACTTCATGTACAGCCTGGGAGGCTCGAGCTCGGTGTCCTTGCAGGTGGAGCACAAGACTGAGGCCGCAGGCTGGCTGCCTTTATTTACGCAGACCGGAGATATGGGGGGTGATTGGCCGACTGTCGGGATCCGAGTTCCGAAGGGCACCATTGCCCTTCGATTCCTGGCTGAGGCTGATGCTGCATCTACAGTTAATTTGGATGAGATTGCTGTACTGACGGTGTTTCATCAAACAGCCGATGAGATCTTTGCAGAGGGACATGCAACTTGGGCAAGCTTGGGTTGCAGTTTCGAGGCCGACAACTGCACATGGTCCAACATCCGTTGGGATCGACTTTGGCTGCGCGGCTCGGGCCAACCACCGTCGTCATCGGACACACGGTCCGACACTAGGCCGTATGGGGCTTTCGCTGGCAAGTGGTGCATTTACACGGACGCCTCCACCGCTTTTGAGGCAGGGCCCCTGAGGCAATAGTAACCTCTGTTTCCCGCCCCACTACTCAAGATAAGCCTGCATCCCGTCCGTTTGCAGGAATTTTTCCTGACATCTCCGATGTTTGCACCCAGCAACGTGACAAGACAGCTCCATTTTGCTTATCACATGCTCGGCAGACACACGGGAAGCTTGCGTTTGGAGTTTTGGAGCGGCAGCAGCTGGACGCCATTTTGGTATCGCATCGGACAACAAGGCATTCGCTGGCAGCTCGCCCTTGTCAACGTTCCCGAGGATGCCGAGATGTTGCGGTTTGTGGCCGTCACGAATACTGGGCCGGTAGGTGTCGTGGGGCTGGATGCCATCGGTGTCGGTGATTTGCCAGCTCCGGACATTGAAGACCTTGCTTGCAATTTCGATTTTGACACTTGCCTCTGGCTCAACACGGGCAACGTCAGTTGGGAGCAGACGTATGGAGACTATGGTTATGGCAATTTTGGTGACGATCAGTGGCTACTAGCTGCGGGCAGCGAGTCGGGCGGTCAGCACTTCATCTTGGAGAGCCTTAAATTCAATCCCACTACCGCCGAGAAGGCTCTGTACTTTTGGTACAGCCTGAGTGGCTCGAGCTCGGTGTCCTTGCAGGTGGAGCACAAGACTGAGGTCGCAGGCTGGTTGCCTTTGTTCACGCAGACCGGAGATATGGGGGGTGATTGGCCGCATGCCGTCATCCGAGTTCCGAAGGGCACCCTTGCCCTTCGATTCCTGGCTGAGGCTGATGCTGCATCTACGGTTCAGTTCGATGAGATTGCGGTACTGGCAGTGGGAGATTGGTCAAGCTTGAGTTGCAGTTTCGAGACCGACTACTGCAAATGGTCCTTGCCCCGTGGGTATGCCTGGCTGCGCCGCTCGGGCCGAACACCGACAGGAAGTACTGGGCCAGACGGGGCTTTCGACGGCAATTGGTACATCTACACGGAAGCCTCTCAAGATAACTGGGACAAGGCAGGATGTCTTAGCCACTAGTCATTAGCCAGAAGGTACCCCCCGTCCCCGTCCGACTACGCCAAACAAGCCTGATTCCCCCGTTTGCAGGAATTTATGCTGACATCTCCGATGTTTGCACCCAGCAATGTGACAAGACAGCTCCATTTTGCTTACCACATGGTGGGCTCCCATATTTACATGGCAAGTTTACGTCTGGAGTTTTGGAGCGGCAGTGGCTGGACGCCTCTTTGGCAAAACGCGGGGAAGGAAATTCATCAATGGAGCATTGCCGTTGTCACCGTTCCTGAGGATGCCGAGGTGTTGCGGTTTGTGGGCCGCACGCCCGACGACGGGTGGTTAGGTGACATGGCTCTAGATGCCGTCGTGGTTGGTGTGCCAGCCATTGACTTTGAAGACCTTGCTTGCAATTTCATTGTTGACATGTGCTTTTGGCTCAACACGGGCAACGCCAGTTGGGAGCAGACCAGCGATTCCAGCGACAATCGGTGGCTACTGGCTGCGGGCAGCGAGTCGGAGGTGCAGAGCTTCATCTTGGAGAGCCTTGAGTTCAATCCCACCACCGCCGAGAAGGCTCTGTACTTCATGTACAGCCTGAGTGGCCCGAGCTCGGTGTCCTTGCAGGTGGAGCACAAGACTGAGGCTGGCTGGTTGCCCCTGTTTTCGCAGACCGGAGATACCGGGACAGCTTGGAAGGGTGCCCCGATCCGAGTTCCACGGGGGACGCATTCCCTTCGACTGCTGGCTGAGGCTGATGCTGCATCTACGATTCAGTTCAATGATATTGTGTCACTGGCAGTGGGAGATTGGGCAAGCCTGAGCTGCGGTTTTGAAACCGACTTCTGCGCATGGTCCTCCGCTCTTGGGAAGGAACCTTGGTTTCGCAACTCGGGCCAAACACCGTTTTCATGGCAGAGAGGGCCACTGGGGGCCTTCGCTGGCAACTGGTACATTTACATGGAGTTCCAGGCATGCCTTGAAGATTTGAAGCTAAGATCTTCCGCCCCAGTCGTCTAACAATCATGCCTCCCAAGCATGGCAAGGGGTCGTGGATGTTTGTAAGATTTTCAGCCAATGATAGGCAGATGCTCAATGGCAGTTGACGAAAGCGGAACGATCGAATTAGATCAGCCGAGCACCAAGCATCATGCCTGCCATCGCTTCTTGAGATATGGTAAGACATGCATGCATGCATGCATGCACATATGTGTGGTCCGTCGTGCTGTCCTCCACACCCGTAATCTGAGCAGCCATGAGAAAACAAAAGAATGATCTTGTGCTAAGCTGGGGGCAAGCCTTGAACCTGTTGGCCTATGGTCGTTGAGCTGTCTGCAGGGCCAGCGACTGACATCCCCAATGTTTGCACCCAGCAATGTGACGAGACAACTCCATTTTGCGTATAACATGAGGGGATATCGCGACTTGGGAACGTTGCGCTTGGATTCTTGGGGCGGCAGTGGTTGGACGACTCTTTGGCAGCACGGGGGGCCACGAGATCTGTACTGGCACATCGCCCTCGTTACCATCCCTCAGGATGCGGAGATCTTGCAGTTCGTTGGCGACGCAGGCTACATGTATGGGTCTCTGGATGCCATCGGCGTTGGCGTGCCAGAGTTGGAGTTTGAAGACCTCACCTGCAATTTCCAGTTCGACATGTGCCTTTGGTTTAGCACGGGGAACGTCAGTTGGAAGCGGAGCAATTCCAGCCAGTATGGATATATGGGTTACTACAATCGCTGGCTACTGGCTGCGGGCAACGAGTCGGAGGGGGACTTCGGCTTGGAGGTCCCTGAGTTCAATCCCACCACCGCCGAGAAGGCTGTGTTGGTGTCTTTCCGTCTCACTGGCTCGAGCTCGGTGTCTTTGCAGATGGAGCACAAGACTGAGGTCGCTGGCTGGTTGCCCTTGTTTTCAGAGACAGGTCCCACAGGCGCAACTTGGAAGGATCGTAGTATCCGAGTGCCGGAAGGAACTGTTGCCCTTCGACTCCTGGCTGGGGCTGATGCTGCATCTACGGTTGAGGTCGGGGAGATCATGGCGGTAGATACGGTGCCCAACCTGGCAACTAGGAGGGCAAAGGGTGCGGGGACATGGTAGGGTACATGTCCATGTTTAAAGTTCAACATTCTGCCTCGAAGTCGGTGCGCTGTAAGGTTTCATCGAGCTCCTACAGTCCTGGGCATTCCACGGCCCGTTAGTGAACTCTTCGAATTCGCGGTTCGGGAGAATGAAAACTGATGCAACTCACCTACTTTTTACCACCCGCCAATTAGGTGGCGTGTCCAGGCCCTAGACTCTAGGGTTCCAGCATGGAGTAGCGTACAGTACTACCTACTTCCGCGTATCAAAAACCGATTCGCAAACTGCGTTTGGTGAAACATATATGTGCATCGACCTTTCCATACACCAATTGTGGTTTGCAGCGAGTCCTTTTCCGTGCGTCGTCCTTTCTTGGTGAAAAAGTCTTCCCTGGCTGCACACATACTTTTATCCCATAGCACGTGCTTCCGCACGGTCTGGGATTCCGGGGTCTACTGTAATCGTTCAAATTCTTAATAGCGCTGCGGCAGTATCGGTACTGTCGAAGTTCTCGGCTCGTATTCCAGTCTGGCCGGTCTCTCCACTCTTGCTGTTACTGTAGCCTGACGAACCGGCTTTTTTTGGTATCCTTGCGTCGCTTCTTCATCCGGACGTTCTCGTGGCATCCTCAGTTGGGGATCCGAACTCAGGCACAGATTATTCCCATCACAGTTGCTCTGTGTTTCGCTTCTTCATATTCCCGTAAGGTTTTGGATCCACGGGTACCAGGAGATCGAATGCTTGTTTCTGTTAGTCCTTCTGCTTCTGCGTTGGCATCATATGTTTGTCATGTTTCATGACCTTCATCACTGACTTCATTGCATCCAGGAATGGTCTCCAGATCCACTGAGCATCTCCACATGTTCCCACCAAGCTGCATGATACAGGTGTTGCACGCGCAGGATTAATGATTAATGGTTCCATTTCTTACTTGTGCCTTGCGCTACATCCCATAACTTGCACATGCCTTGGCAGTCATTCCGTCCATATGCATGTCCTGAGAACAGGCTCCATGTGCTTTCATCGTCGCGATCTTCCTCATGTGACGTACGGACTGTCTGTTGTCACGCGAACTCCCACAGCACCGGGAAGTACGTGATCCCCGGCTAGACTCGACATGAACACAGACTATGAGCGATATATGCCAGATCCACGGCGATTGATCGCTGATTTGGGGAGAGAGGTCCACCAGTGATCCCGGGCACCAGGGCGCAAGGGCACAAGGGCACGGCAAGGGCACGGGAAGGGCACAGCAAGGGCACGGCAAGGGCACGGGAAGGGCACAGCAAGGGCACGGCAAGGGCACGGCAAGGGCACAAGGGCACAAGGGCGCAAGGGCGCAAGGGCGCAAGGGCACAAGGGCACAAGGGCACAAGGGCACAAGGGCACAAGGGCACAAGAGCGCGAATGCACATGGACATATATACAAATATATAAATATACAAATATACATATACACATGTATACATATATGCATATGTACACATATACATATAACACGGAAAAGACACACGCATGTATGCACACATATCAAAGTACAGATGTACATAAAAACATATATACACATGCACGTATGTAAACATACACATACTTACTTATATGCATATATACATATATATATACACATACATACATGCATGCATACATACACATATACATATGTACACGTACACATATATACCCAAAAACGCGTATACACATATACATATATACTTATATACACATTTGAATATATGCATCTACACAAGAATACATAATTACCCACACACATATACACATATACATGTACACATGTATACATATAAACATGAATAGAGTTCTGATTTAAAATCAGGGGCGCCCTATCAGTCCGAGGCTCCGTCTTCGGAGATCAAGGATGATAAGAGTTCTGGTTTTAAAGACAGGGCCGCCCTATCAGTCCGTAAGAGTTCTGATTCTAAAACCAGGGGCTCAACATTAGTTCAAGACTCCATCCTCGGAGTTCAAGGGTGGTCAGAGTTCTGTTCTTTTTAATATCAAGGGCGCCCCATCAGTCCAAGGCTCCATCCTCGGAGTTCAAGGGCGGTAAGAGTTCTGATCTTAAAATCAGGGGCGCCCTAACAGTCCAAGGCTCCATCCTCGGAGTTCAAGGGTGGTAAGAGTTCTGATTTTAAAACCAGGGGCGCCCCATCAGTCCAAGGCTCCATCCTCGGAGTTCCAGGGTGGTAAGAGTTCTGATTTTGAAATCAGGGGCGCCCCATCACTCCGAGGCTCCATCCTCGGAGTTCAAGGGTGATAAGAGTTTTCATATGAAAACCAGGGGCGCTCCATCAGTCCAAGGCTCAATCCTCGAAGTTCAAGGGTGGTAAGAGTTCTGATTTTGAAATCAGGGGCCCCCCATCATTCCAGGGCTCCATCCTCGGAGTTCATGGGTGGTAAGAGTTCTGATTTTGAAATCAGGGGCGCCCCATCAGTCCAAGGCTCCATCCTCGGAGTTCAAGGGTGGTCAGAGTTCTGATTTTAAAATCAGGGGCGCCCCATCAGTCCGAGGCTTCATCCTCGGAGTTCAAGGGTGTTAAGAGTTTTCATATTAAAACCAGGGGCGCCCTATCAGTCCGAGGCTCCATCCTCGGAGTTAAAGGGTGGTAAGAGTTCTGATTTTAAGATCAGGGGCGCCCCATCAGTCCAAGGCTCCATCCTCGGAGTACAAGGAAGGTAAGAGTTCTCATTTTTAATCCAGGGGCGCCCCATCAGTCCCACCTCGGAGTTCCATGGTGCTAAGAGTTCTGATCTTGAAATCAGGGGTGCCCCATCACTCCGAGGCTCCATCCTCGGAGTTCAAGGGTGATAAGACTTCTGGCTTTAAAGTCAGGACCGCCGCATCAGTCCGAGGCTCCATCCCCGAAGTTCAAAGGTGGTAAGAGTTCTGATTTTGCACTCAGGGGCACCCCATCAGTCCAGGGCTCCATCCTCGGAGTTCAAGGGTGGTAAGAGTTCTGATTTTAAAATCAGGGCCGCCCCAACATGCCAAGGCTTCATCCTCGGAGTTCAAGGGTGATAAGAGTTTGAATTTTCAAACCAGGGGCGCTCCATCAGTCCAATGCTCCATCCTCGAAGTTCAAGGGTGATAAGAGTTCTGATTCTAAAAACAGGGGCTCAACATTAGTCCAAGGCTCCATCCTCGGAGTTCAAGGGTGATAAGAGTTCTCATTTTCAATCCAGGGGCGCCCCATCAGTCCCAGGCTCCATCCTCGGAGTTCAATGGTGATAAGAGTTCTGATTTCAAAATCAGGGGCGCCCCATCAGTCCCAGGCTCCATCCTCGGAGTTCAATGGTGATAAGAGTTCTGATTTCAAAATCAGGGGCGCCCCATCAGGCCGAGGCTCCATCCTCGGAGTTCAAGGGTGATAAGACTTCTGGTTTTAAAGACAGGACCGCCCTATGAGTCCAAGGCTCCACAAGCTGCGCAGCCGGCGCAAGCGGCCCTGCCGGCGTCGGCACACCGGTGCATCCATGTGGTGGGTCGGCGCACTTACTTATATACATATATACATATATATATATATATACATACACATACATACATGCATGCATACATACACATATACATATGTACACGTACACATATATACCCAAAAACGCGTATACACATATACATATATACTTATATACACATTTGAATATATGCATCTACACAAGAATACATAATTACCCACACACATATACACATATACATGTACACATGTATACATATAAACATGAATAGAGTTCTGATTTAAAATCAGGGGCGCCCTATCAGTCCGAGGCTCCGTCTTCGGAGATCAAGGATGATAAGAGTTCTGGTTTTAAAGACAGGGCCGCCCTATCAGTCCGTAAGAGTTCTGATTCTAAAACCAGGGGCTCAACATTAGTTCAAGACTCCATCCTCGGAGTTCAAGGGTGGTCAGAGTTCTGTTCTTTTTAATATCAAGGGCGCCCCATCAGTCCAAGGCTCCATCCTCGGAGTTCAAGGGCGGTAAGAGTTCTGATCTTAAAATCAGGGGCGCCCTAACAGTCCAAGGCTCCATCCTCGGAGTTCAAGGGTGGTAAGAGTTCTGATTTTAAAACCAGGGGCGCCCCATCAGTCCAAGGCTCCATCCTCGGAGTTCAAGGGTGGTAAGAGTTCTGATTTTGAAATCAGGGGCGCCCCATCACCCCGAGGCTCCATCCTCGGAGTTCAAGGGTGATAAGAGTTTTCATATGAAAACCAGGGGCGCTCCATCAGTCCAAGGCTCAATCCTCGAAGTTCAAGGGTGGTAAGAGTTCTGATTTTAAAATCAGGGGCGCCCCAACATGCCAAGGCTTCATCCTCGGAGTTCAAGGGTGGTAAGAGTTCTAGTTTTAAAGACAGGACCGCCCTATCAGTCCGAGGCTCCGTCTTCGGAGATCAAGGATGATAAGAGTTCTGATTCTAAAACCAGGGGTTCAACATTAGTTCAAGACTCCATCCTCGGAGTTCAAGGGTGGTCAGAGTTCTGTTCTTTTTAATATCAAGGGCGCCCCATCAGTCCAAGGCTCCATCCTCGGAGTTCAGGGGCGGTAAGAGTTCTGATCTTAAAATCAGGGGCTCCCTAACAGTCCAAGGCTCCATCCTCGGAGTTCAAGGGTGGTAAGAGTTCTGATTTTAAAACCAGGGGCGCCCCATCAGTCCAAGGCTCCATCCTCGGAGTTCCAGGGTGGTAAGAGTTCTGATTTTGAAATCAGGGGCGCCCCATCACTCCGAGGCTCCATCCTCGGAGTTTAAGGGTGATAAGACTTCTGGCTTTAAAGTCAGGACCGCCGCATCAGTCCGAGGCTCCATCCCCGAAGTTCAAGGGTGGTAAGAGTTCTGATTTTGCACTCAGGGGCACCCCATCAGTCCAGGGCTCCATCCTCGGAGTTCAAGGGTGGTAAGAGTTCTGATTTTAAAATCAGGGCCGCCCCAACATGCCAAGGCTTCATCCTCGGAGTTC